AAAAAATACCTTCATTTACAAGAGAAAAGGCACCCTCTGCACCCTCTGATCAAGTTTCTACTTGTTGGAGTTTGATAAATGAAGAAAAAAGGGAAAATTTAAAAAACGAATTTTTCAATCGAATTGAAGCTTTAGATAAGCAATGGTCTGTTGAAAATATACTGGAAAAAAGGACTCGATTTTGTCATAATCAAACTAAAAAAGAATATTTACCGAAAATTTATGATCCATTTTTGCACGGGATCCTCCGCGGAAGAATCAAAAAATTAGCTCCATTCCAAATCATAACCGAAAGCTATATAAAAAATAATATAGGAGGATCTTGGATAAACAAGATTCATGGTATACTTTTAAAGATTAATTCTCACAAATTTGAGCAAACAATAGAAAAATTTAATAGAAAATCTCTGTCAATAGAGAAAAAACTTTCTTTTTTTTCAGAACCCCAAGAAGAAAAAATTCATTCAGAAGAAGAAATAAAAATTTTCAAATTTTTATTTGATGTCGTTATAACTGATAACAACGATCAAACTCTTATAAAAAATTTTATTGATATCCGTGAAATAACTAAAAAAGTTCCTCGATGGTCATACAAATTAACAAGTGAATTCGAAGAATTGGAAGGCGAAACTGAAGAAAATGTACCAACGGAGCCCGGAATTCGTTCAAGAAAAGCAAAACGTGTAGTGGTTTTTACTGATCAAGAGCCGGATAACAAGCTTTATCCTAATCTCAAAGATAATCAAAATTCGGATCAAAAAGATGAAATGGCTTTGATCCGTTTTTCACAACAATCTGATTTTCGTCGAGAGATAATTAAAGGATCCATGCGTTCCCAAAGGCGTAAAACTGTTATTTGGGAATTTTTTCAAGCAAAAACACACTCGCCCCTTTTTTTTGATAGAATAGATAAACTTTTTGATTTTTCATTTGATATACGGGGGCTCAAAAAAACAATTCTTAGAAATTTCATGTGGAAAAAAAAAAAAAAAAAAAATTATAAAAAAGAGGAAGAAGAATCAAAAATAGAAGAAAAAAGACGGATAGAAATTGCAGAAACTTGGGATAGCTTCCAATTTGCTCAAATAATAAGAGGTTCTCTCTTATTAACTCAATCTATTCTTAGAAAATATATTATAGTACCTTTATTGATAATAATAAAAAATAGCATCCGGCTATTATTATTTCAACTCCCCGAGTGGTCTGAGGATTTAAAGGATTGGAAACGTGAAATGCATATTAAATGTACTTATAATGGGGTTCAACTATCCGAAACTGAATTTCCAAAAAACTGGTTAACGGATGGTATTCAGATAAAAATCCTATTTCCTTTTTATCTTAAACCTTGGCATAAATCTAAATTTCAATCATCTCCGAAGGCTCGGCTAAAAAAAAGAAAAGACAAAGGAGAAAAAAACAATTTTAGTTTTTTAACGGTTTGGGGAATGGAAACAGAACTGCCGTTTGGTTCGGCCAAAAAAAAGCCTTCTTTTTTTGAGCCTATTTCTAAAGAATTAAAAAAAAGAATCAAAAAATATAAAACGAAGTCTTTTCTGGTTTTAAGGATTCTCAAAGAAAGAGCAGCCATTTTCCTAAAAGTCGCAAAAGAAATCCAAAACTGGATTATCAAAAACTTTCTTTTTCTAAAAGGAAAAATAAACAACCTTTCAAAACAAAATCTAATTCCATTAGTTGGACCGAGAGAAATATATGAATTAACTGAAACTAAAAAAGATTCAATAATGAGTAATCAGATGATTCATGAACTATCTGTTCAAAAAAAATCCACGGAGTGGACAAATTCTTCACTCAAAAAAAAAAAAAAATTTGATTTATAGAATAAAGACAATCAGAAATCAAACAGACGAAATTGCAAAAGAAAAAGAAAACCTAACTAATAGTTGTAATAAACCGTGTTATGATTTTCAAATAATTGAGTCATCAAAAAAAAGTTGGCAAACATTAAAAAGAAAAAATACCCGATTAATTCGTAAATCTTTTTTTTTTTTTAAATTTTGCATTGAACAACTGTCTCTAGTTATTTTTTTAGGTATCATTAATATTCCAAGAATTACTACACAACTTTTTTTTGAATCAACAAAAACAATTCTTGATAAATATATTTACAAGAATGAAGAAAATGGAG